TCTTGTGCTTTACTATGTGATCGCCAGTCAAAAACCCAGCCGGCAATCACTGCTGCATATGATAAGCTGAATCATGCACCCATTTCAACTGGATATATAGACTGATAGATAGACTAGTTTATTAAAATCACATCGCAGTAAAAATACTAAATTGCACATTTTTTTTTACAAACTACTAAAACAATTGTGCAATTCAGTATTTATACTGCGATGTAATTTTAATAAACCAGTCTACCTATCCAATTGAAATGGGTGCATTTCAATTGGATACAAATGCAATTTCCATCCATTTGAAATTTATCCAATTGGATCTTTCTTTTAATCTATTAGAAGACAGATGCTGAGATTACATCACCATTTAACAACCTCTTGATTTTTTAACACATAAAACAAATAGATTCCATGTTGCTGTGGGTCTGTACAGCCACAGAAAATGTCAAAATTTCATTAAAACATCGGTGATATACTCGGCTATGCCTTGTGTGCCATTTTTTTGTTTTTACCACATTTTGACATCTGTGATCTATTACTAAAGAAACACACAACAACATGAAATCTATTTGTTTTATGTGATAAAAAGCAAAATGTTATTTAATAATGATGTCATCTATGCATCTCCTCTCGTAGATAAGAATCTATTTGTAAATATTATTTCAAATCTCCAAATGAAAATTCTGAGTCATTTCTACACTTGACATCAGAATCAAAATTATTAGTAGATTCAGATTCAGCAGGTGCAGATCCATCCTCTATCATTCTCACTCAAATTTCATGCATTTGATCCTTTCTGAAATTTCACTGAGGAGCTCTTACAGAAACACCCTTTCCACAAAAAAAGTATCAATTAACCCACACTCTGCCCACTTGCAAAAGAAGAAAATACCTGTTAACTCATGGGACTTAACCCACCCTCAAGACAAGTGCTCAACAACTTTCTCCATTTGAAGTTTAACCTTTAGAAAGTAAAAGCTAAGACAAAACTAAGCAGAATAATATGGAGGGAGATTTTGCAAGCTAAGCCTCATTTTTTTCAGTGACAATTTGTGCTTAGAGTTTTGTTTGTAAGACATGATTATCGAATCGCACTACATAAGGTAATGTCACGCCATGCAGCCATGTGCTGACATTGGACACCGTTAAGGTATATGAACTTTGTACGTACGAGACATCAGGTCTTTTGTCTTCTAAGCTTGTGCTGCTAGCTGTAGTTTTGATTGCCGTAGTTTTGAATGCCGACTAAAAGCTGTTACAAAGCCTCAACCTCTGCGTCTTACATTTTCTTTGCTCAGTTTTGTGCCACTCAACCAGTAATATCACATTTCTGTCTTCTTTGAGGATGCCTGGAACTAATCTTTTATCAGAAATGGTTCTTTAAAGCCATAACATCTACAGCTCAGCCATCTCCACGTGAAAATATAACTCATAGTTTACATTATGGTCAGAATGCGGGCAAGTTTCTCAATAAACAGTGGTGCTGCATTGGTGGGGTATTACAAGATAATTTGGTTATTTCAACTAAGTTGAAATTGTAAATTGGCCACCGTAAAGAGTTAAAAAGCTGATGTTTCAAACGTTAGCACTTTGTCATTTGCTCTGACAAAGGGCTGATGCTCTAAACATCAGCTTTTTAGCTCTTCACGGTGACCAATTTACAATTTCAACTTAGCTGATATAACCAATTGAAATTACCTTGTTACCCCCACCAATGTATCACCACAGTTTCTTAAGAAACTTACCCCCTTCATTACAAGATAAGTTGTTTTTATCAACTGAGTTAATAAAAATAAATTGGCCACTATGGAGAGTTTTTAAAGCTGATGTTTCAAGCATTTACCCTTTGTCATCCTTTTGGCTTTGACGACAGGCTAATGCTTAAAATGTTAGCCTTAAAACCTCCTTACATGTGGCTAATTTACATTATCAACTCCGCTGATGAGACCAAATTATCTTATAATGAGAGTGACGCTTGACCTTTGTTTGGCAAGGCTGTCAGAAAGTTTGAGAGTAGAAAGCAGACAAGAAAAAAGTGAGTAGCCAGGTTATTATGGAGGCCATGTTGTTACATCAGATCACATGCACAACTGGGAAAAATTCAGTTAAAATCCCTAACAAGTTTCAACAAGTTTGCATGAAACTTTCAGAAAATTCTGAACATGAAAAATTATACAATGTCATTCATTTCCACTTAAACTGGTAATAAAAACATCTTTGATAGTAATTCAATAATTATAAATTTCGCATGGGCACCTATGGTAAGCAAATGTGAAGGGAGCAAGCAGCTTTGGCAGCAGACCAGCTCTGGTAAGATGGCTAGCTTTTATGGGCACCTGTTTCAAACTTGGCCCAACAAACCAGGCAATAAATTGCTACCTTACATTCATTGACAGACGGCCTTTTTTTCTGTCACCTTAGATTAACCAACTCCTCCCCCCTCCCATGCCGAGAACCCATGGACACTTAATCAAGATGGCACCAGTTTCCTTTCTGTCCAGCCACAACAACCAGTCAGAAGGTTTTCTTCAAAGCTGATTACTGCTTCCTTTTTGAAGATTTTCAGAGTGATCTGAATGAGTTTAGCTATAGTTTGTAGAGTTATGCAGAGTTTAGCAGGGTGAGTTCACCCACAAATAAAGGCTAGACCCTGATCAAACACCACGCCTAACTCAAGCACCCTGGGGTTTAGTTGATCTCTTGTCTTGGCGTTGAATCGGTAACGGGGGTTTGATCGAGAGAAGCATACGTCATAAACTAATTACCCTATGATCAATGTGACTAGTATGTATTGGCCACAGTAAGTTATCTGATGCACAAACCCCAAAGATACTTAGTTGATTTTGAGTCAATCCCAGAAATGTTAGCATCGTTTAGCAATGCGAGTTTTAATTTTACGATCAACACAGACCAACACGGAGTACCTACCATTCTTAATAAGCCATTCCATTGCTCTGCACTTGCCAAGAACACCTGCCCAGTGCAGAAGAGGAAAGCGATAGTTCTTGACGGGATCGGGGATTTCTTCATCTCTCTTCCAGCCTTTCTTAAGAAAAGATTTCACGGTTTCTTCAAACTCATCCATTTTGCCGCGTTTATCTCGCATATCTGAGCACTCTAAAATCGCAACAAGGAGATCGTGGTGTTTTGGGCACGGCTTTCTTTTATCGCAGAACGGTGTGCATGTGTTCCGAGCCATCTTGTACAGCAAAATGAAATTTTGGACAACACTTTCTCCACCTTCGTCACATGCAATAGCGTTTAAAGGTTGAAAAGAGTTCCCTTCTTCCAAACAATAAACGGTTCGTGCTTGGCAACCAAGCCTGGACGCTCTCCAAAGTTGTTAAGAATTTGGGCTGTCTCTGGTGTACCGGGTTCTGAAATGACCAATAATTAACAGATGATGTACCAGAAGGGTAAAGTGAATGTGTGGGGAACGGTGGGCACAGCGGACCAGTGAGTACGGAGGACCAGAGGAACAGCAGGAACAGTGGAACAGTGGAACAGTGGAACAGTGGGTACAAAGGACCAGTGGAACAGTAGGTGCAGATGACCAGAGGAACAGCGGGCACGGAGGACCAGAGAAACCGTGGGCACAGAGGACCAATGGAACAGTGGGCACAATGGGCACAGTGGGCACAGTGGGCACAGAGGACCAGTGAAGCAGTGGGTACAAAGGAACAGAGGAACAGAGGGTACAGAGAACAGTGGGTACAGAGGACTATTGGAACAGATGTGTTTAACAGCTCGCTGCAACAACATAAAGTACCATCCTCTTGGAAGATGGC